TGAATTTAGCTAGCATACAATCGTTGACAAAGTTTTAAAATTAGCATTATCGAAATATTAGTTTGGAATAACATATTTTGAAACATTGTAACTTTTGCTACGGTTAATCTTTGTGCCATTAATAAGCAAAAAATAGGTCTTGAGCACTTCGAAATAATATTAAGAATTTAATGTATCAACTGACCCCCGGGACATAGCTCAGTAGTGTAAAGAATAAGAGTGAGATTATCTCCCGCTTTGCTGGCAGCCGCAGTGTAGGGGTTCGATTCCTGAGATATGAAATTGGACTCATTGTAGGCGCAGTGTACATGTAGCTCTTGTTCCCTGGCCTATTGGGACACATCCCGCGATTTACCTCCCTCACAAAACTCTAGGGTCGGGGTGATAGGGACCCTCAAAATTGGAGTTCAACCTTTAAGAATGTAATGTATCAGCTTCATAACTTCATTTTACATCCCATAAAAACAATTATAGATAAAAAAAAAAGTTGCAGAGACACTTGACCTCTCATGACCCCATGTGTGTTCACCTATGAGACCATGTTCTCAGAGTCTCTATACCGCTTTCCTGTAAGGTAAGAATGGATTTGAGAATTTTGTCATTCTTAATCAGGGGCGGATCAGGGACGGGTTAGTGCTACAGCCCGTCCATTCGCCCCAAATCCACTTTAAAAAAAAATTAGTAAATTTTTTTTTTATGTGTCATTTTCTTTTTTTTGCTGTATTAGCCCATGTTCATGCTGGAAACTGGATCCGCCAGTGTCCTTAATTGATTCTGAATCCTCTCTCGAATCACAAAGAGGTCCTTGGGGCCTCATTTTCTTGCTGGGCAAGCTTGGCATAGCCACAAAAAATTACAGGCTGAGTCGGTAAATTCCAAAATCATGTAAGTCTGCCCGATTTCCATTTCTAGTTTAAAACCTATGTTGAAACATCATATCAACGCAAATCATTGTACACCCATAAACCTAATTTCCATGCATCACTTGCATTTTTATCCAATCCAACTTATATCCTTCCAATATGTTCTATAGGATTACTAACTATTTAACGTATAATGTCTCCAAAATAAATCCTCGTAGCTGATCATCTATTTTAATGAACAAGAAGAGTCTCAACTTTGGATTATAATTGCGAAAAAGATCCATTCGACCATGCAAATACTTCTCCCAATATAGCAATAAAAGCAAGACATGTAGGTGGATCAACTCATCAAGTTCTCATTGAAATAAGATACATACAAGGAAAAGCACTTCAATAAATTCAATCCATTTTACCATCAAAGATCTAACGCGACAAGTTAGATGAAAAGATCGAGTCAAGTTATCGAAGCGGACATTTTTTATTCTTCACCCGGTCCTTAGTAGCCTGTCCAAAGTAAACCTAAGAACCACCTTTGGAAAGGCGCTAAACAGGCCTATGGTTCACCTTTTTGATGGAAGAAAATAAGAACGAAATAGAATTAGCCAAATTGTCTAAAGCATGAATAGAATCGCCTTCTCCCAATATAGCAATAAAAGCAAGACATGTAGGTGGATCAACTCATCAAGTTCTCATTGAAATAAGATACATACAAGGAAAAGCACTTCAATAAATTCAATCCATTTTACCATCAAAGATCTAACGCGACAAGTTAGATGAAAAGATCGAGTCAAGTTATCGAAGCGGACATTTTTTATTCTTCACCCGGTCCTTAGTAGCCTGTCCAAAGTAAACCTAAGAACCACCTTTGGAAAGGCGCTAAACAGGCCTATGGTTCACCTTTTTGATGGAAGAAAATAAGAACGAAATAGAATTAGCCAAATTGTCTAAAGCATGAATAGAATCGCCTTTGTTCTGAAGGTCTACTGAGGTTCCCCCACCCCTCCCCCTCCCTCAAAGCAAAGGCAGTCCTTTTCTTTCCCCGGACCGATGACTCACTTGTTCAGTACTGCTAACTATTTATTATAGGTATAGGAGAATGTCGTCCCCTCGGGACTACCAATAGCTTCAGTTGTTGAATCCCGTGCAAGTTAGGTTGTGGTTGTATTCATGGTGGACAATAAATGCCCCACAAATATACATGATTGAACTTGAAGCTCCTCTAACTAATATAGCAATCACATCATAAGCATATCCTTCCAAAGTCGAGTACCTTTCAAAATTAAAGAATCCGGGTTGGTGGATTTGGCGCCCATATTATCAAAGAGTATGAGACGATAATTGTCACCAGATATGGTACAAGGTGTTGTTGGAATTTTGGGATATTTATAAGTGTGAATTGAAAAAGTTTTCAATTGGTGCGATAACTAGTCACAACTCTTCAATTGCAAATAGTGCATATCAAAGAGTTATGTTGTTTCGGAATAGGTGTGATCTTTTCATAAGGTGCAATTTACACCATTAAATATGAAATGGTACGATTTAATAGTTAAAATTAATTTTATTAAGAAGAAATACATGAAAATCTACAAATAGGGCCATCATAATTCCATTTTCTTCTCTCAAAATCAATTCCATATAATAGCTTTCTAATTATTTCATTCTCTAAATTCTATCAAAACAATTTTCAAATTATTTTTAAATTTCATATTCGATATCTTTCATTCGAGAGGAGTACAGTCAAGCATTGATTTGCTCCTTAAAATTAATATTGTGCTACATTATTTTTGGAAAAAGCTTTGTATCTTAAGAGATTGACGTTCATTTGATTCTGTTAACACCAATGCATGAAGTAAAATCCGTCGTAAAAAGATTTGCATTCACATATCTCGCTTCATTTCATCTTCTTTTAATTTCTACATCTTCTACGTTTGAATAAGTCGTTATTTGTTCATTAATATACACGTTCCATGATTTCGATAAGTTATTACTTTATTCGTATTCACATACACATTTGTTTTTGTTAATAGAATATAATTCATGCACTAATTCATTCAATATTTGTTTCCATACCGACTAATCTGTTCCGAACCCGTGAGCTAGTACTATGGTTTGGTCACGTGCCCGAACCAACAATTTTCACGTTGTGTGCTTCTTTCTACTAACAATTAAACTACATTGACCGGTTTTGTACCTTTGTTAGTTTGTCCGGAATATGATAGCAAAACCAGCTAGGATTGGGTGATGACGACCACATGTTTGTTGATATTATTCTTGAAAATAATTTTATTTTATTGTGACAGGTACTTGTCAACTGCTGGTGCAGCAATATGTGCGTTGACATCATTTGATTGGATTTGGATCTTTAATGAATTTTATATTAATAATTCATCCAACATTAATGTAAGAATGAAAATGAAACATATAATCGTTATATATTTCATACAAGAGATAGAAAGTCAAATATGGTGGCTTGATATGATGGATAACGATCATATTTTTCATTTTAATGAACAAATAATGTGGAACAAACAGGGATTTAAGTAAGAACAAGTGATAACAGAGAATGCATTAGAAGAAGATATGTGTCCAAAAATTAGCGCGATCTCTTTGGATTACTGGGCTCGTTATCTATAATTATTTAATAAAGCAAGCATTGAACTGAATGAATGGTAAAAAAAAAAAAAAAAAAAAGATTCGTATAGGCATGCCAAACATGTCATTAGTTTTCACGTGAATTTTTTTTAATTTTTTTTTTTAACGAGGTGTCCCAACTTACGCCAGATTATATCCTCGTCCCTGAACTTCCGGCCCCTCAGCAGCTCAGGGAGGTAAATCGCGGGATGTGCCCAAGTTGACCAGAGTTCGAACATCACGTGAATTTATTTTCTCTGATGTAGAGTGGTTGATCGCATGTATAATGTAAAGCGAAATATAAGTACTGAATTTATCTGAAGACAAATTAAAAATCCATTAATAAAACTGAAAAAAGTAATATACTCTATAAAAAATTTATATACAAAGGGTATTTATTGTATTGAAGGAAAAATTGAAATAGGAATTCATTCTCGTATTAAAAAGAAAGAAAGAAAGAAAGTGAAATGGGGATCTGAATTTTAAATTGAGGGAATCAGGCACATAGTTGAAGAAAGATATAATAATCGTAAGAAAAGGCTATAAATATTATAGTTGGCGAATGGGATTCAAAATTATGTGCATGTTTGATTAATGTTTATAACCATTTATTTTAAATGTGAAATCACATTTTTCACACATTTTGTGGAATTTACAAATATTATTACTTATTCAATAGGCGCTTCTATTTCATATTACCAACGAAAATTCTTTTCGTAGTTTCTCGTTTTAGTTATTCTCTTTTTTGAATAGTTTTGTAAATAGCTCCTTTTCATGTTCTAGTAAAGCGCTGCCACTCTTCTTATCTATTATTCTTAGGCTTGCCCAATTATATTTGAGGGTTACATTGTTGTATTTGTTTCCTTCATTATCATTTCTAGTCCTCTTTGTTCTCCTCTAAGTGTAGTAATTATTTATTACTCTTAAAAGTTCCTCTATTTGGTTGACAAATCTCCTAAAATGGCATTATCATGATACACCTACCTCAATATCAATTGAAAGCATTCATTGATTATAAGCTGGAAGTAAACCATTGTTGG